GATGGAAGAAAGTAAAAAAGTTAAAAAAATCACTGGGAATTTAAAAATGAGTCCAGGTTTTATCGTATTAAGATACAATATTTTTTCATGTGAAGGGTTCTGTGCTGTGTATTAATTAGTTCTTTTCACAATACATACTGTTATTAACACAGAAATGATATTGTATTTGAGATCTGCTTCCAAACGGTAAAGGAAGATGATGGGATGTGAGTATTTCAATGAAATAAAACTGGTCATGAGTAGACAATAGCTGAAGCCAGATCATGGGTGTATGGATCATTAAATTCCTTGTTATCCACAGGGTATGTTTTATTTTTTTTTAGAATTAAAAGTTTTTTTTAAAAAAAACTGAATGGCTTAAATGACCAGGGACATAAATATTAAAACATTTTAGACAGGCTTTGGCAGAAGGTACAAAGTACCTAAATGTATAGGGCATCTGAAATTTCATTGCTAAGAAAATGTTAGGTGTTCATCACAGATTATTTATGAAGTCTGGTCAAAATTTCAAAACTGTTGATCATAAGTATTTAGTGAGAGGTGATGTTCAGTGCTATATTAACTGAAAGTTAAATATGATCTCTTGTTACAAATTCCTGAATTTTCCATACATTATAGACGTGGACCAAGGGGCTTGAGGTTGCTACATACTGTAATGTGTAACTGTGGGAGAAGGTAGATCTCATGATTGACTCTACTACTACTTTGAGCCACAATCCTGTGGGATTGAGTGGATGAACAAGATAAGTTGCACCAGATAGAAAATAATACAGTGGGAAATTTTGATGTATATGAATTACATATATGAAATAAAATAAATAAAAGTAAGGAACACCTGTGATATAGAGTAAAATGGACATCATTGACATCATAATATGTTTTATAAATTAAAGGGAAGGACTAGATGGAATGTACATATATTTTTGGGAAAGGGAAGGGGAATAGCAAAATTCTAAGACAATGGACAAATAGTGAACCACAAGATTCACAAGGCACTATGTTGGAAATGATATCTACAACTTGGTGGGGAGGGGAGTTAGGAGGAGGGAAAGTGGGAAAAAATGAAGGGGGTGTAACAAGAAATGTACTCATTACCTTACTTATGTAACTGTAACCCCTCTGTAAATCACCTTTACAAAAATATAAAATATTATCTTAAAAAAAACATTCAGCAAAAGGACAGGAAAATGACAGGAAAAGCATCCCTGGGCCCTGAGAGGTGAGAAAGCTGTGGAAAGGCAAATATATGATGAGAGCTTGCAGAGTTTTCTGGATTCTGAGGTCAGAAGCAAGCAAGGATTTACATCTTCTCGAGAGTAGAAGGCATTTTGTCTTTGTAAATTTATGATCTGCTTTTAAAGGACAATAAGACAGGGAGTTTCCTGTATTTTAATTGTCTTCAGACTACATATGTTGTGTCTAAAAGCCAAATTTTGGATGATGCAAGCTGATTTCATTATTTGCAGTAG